GAATTAATTGTTCTGTGCCTGAGGTATGTTGGTGCCAGAGAAATTTTGAAATACTTCTTCATTTTTTTCCTCTCCATTGGACCTACACTTCTCCTTTCCCATGACAGACACAAATCCTCTGCAAGTGATTTACAGCTTTTTGAATAGGATTCTCCTGTGGTTTGTTGCTATGTAGACTGTTGTCAGAGCCGGCAAGGCAAAGTCTATTGAATGCCAAAAAAAAGAAAGAAAGAAAAATAATAATTTTTCAAAGAGGCATAATTTATGGCAGTAAAGCATTTCCCACTGAGCCCTGAGAACAAAGTTATTTAGACTTAAACGCGAACTGTGGGGATACAGCATAAGTATCCATTGAAGTATGTGTGTGCGTGTACCCGTGTGTGTGAGAGAGAGACTGGAAATACCATGGTGTTTTTAATCGCCTCATAAGCATGCAAAACCTGGATGATGAATAAGGAAGACTGAAAAAGCATTGACGCCTTTGAATTGTGATGTTGGTGAAGAATATTGAATATACCATGGACTGCTAAAAGAATGAATAAATCTGTCTTGGAAGAAGTGCAACCGGCAAGGATGGTGAGACTAAGTCTCACATACTTTGGACGTGTTATCACGAAGGATCAGTCCATGGAAAAAGACATCATGATTGGTAAAGCAGAGGGTCAGTGACAAAGAGGATGACCCTAACGAGATGGACTGACACAATGGCTGCAACAATGGGCTCCAGCATAATAATAATTGTGAGGATGCTGCAAGACAGGGCAGTGTTTCATTATGTTGTACATCAGGTCACTATGAGTCAGAATCAACTGGACAACACCTACCAACATCGAAATTATTACAGGGAAAAGAGGTCTCCAGTTACAAAAACTTCCTCTGTTGCTGGTCATCTCTGGGGAATACGCAATTCTTCAAATCACAAATCCAGATCTTGTTGCTTTCCCAGAAGAGAGCTCTGAAACCTGACCAAGAGGAAGTTCCTCCATGGACAGCACATATATGTGGTGGAATACATCGAACCCGAAGCAGCTCAGCAATGTTGGTGTCATGGACATGTGGTTGCTGGGTGCCTGCCGGGTGACTATAAGGAAGGATGCTTGTGAGAAAATGGACTTTTTTGTGACCCCAGTATGCAGGCTGATGGGTACATTTCAGGGTTCCTCTGAATACTGACCTGGGGACAGAACCAGTGTCATAGTTGTAGGGCTGCTAAAACAGAAATACCACAAGTGGAGGCCTTCAACAAACAGAAGTTTATTCTCTCACAATCTAATAGGCTAGAAGTCAGAATTCAGGGTGTCAGCTCTATGGGAATGTTTCTCTCTCTGTCAGCTCTGCAGGAAGATCCTTATCATCAATCTTCCCCTGGTCTAGGAGCCTCTCTTCACAGATACTTCGTGCCGAAAGGATGTGCTGTGCTCCAGGCAGTGCTTTCTGGGTGGTATGTGGCCCCCACCTGTCTCTGCTTGTTTCTCCCTTTTATATCTTAAAAGAGATCAACTTAAGACACAGCCTAATATTTTAGATTGAGTCCTGCTTCATTAACATAACTGTCGATAATCCCACCTCATTAACATCATAGAGGTAGGATTTACAACACATAGGAAAATCACGTCAGATGAAAAAATGGTGGACAATCACACAGTACTGGGAATGATGGACTAGCCAAGTTGGCACACATTTTTGCAGGACACAATTCAATCAATAATAACCATGCTCTTCCTATTTCTGGGAAACATTCAACCAAACACAGATGTCGGTGGCAGAAGACAGGCAGGTGATGAAGACATCAGAGGTAACACCCTAAAACTTCCAAACTGTAGATGTGATGATTCCCTTTGTTGACATGAGGGCCCAGTGCATGGCAGGAGCTTCAGCAAATTCCTTTCAAGCATGACTCCTTTAATATCCCAAACACCCTGAGAATTGGACAGTGTTACAGCTATTTTCCCATTGAAGAACCTGAAGTGTGAAGGAGTTATGGAATTTTTCTGAAGCCAAACTCCACGAATGGAGGATCCAGGGCCCTGTCCTTTACTCACCACATTTTCTTTCCAAGATTTGATGTGTATGCTCCCCTAAAACCCAGGAATACACCAGGATTGAGGGTTATGCTGAAGAGGACACTCCTTGAGGTGCCTGCATGGTATTGGTAAGGAACATTCTGGGACGCAACATTCCTGAAAACTCATGGATGCTAGGATAAACTCAGTACGTAGAACTTGGAGAAGAAAGCATTGGGCTAGGAGGGAACATTGGTGAGTTCCAGGGAGTTTCCAAGTTGGGAATCAAAGCTACTGAGAGGAATGGGATGGAGAGGTCAGACCACAGACACATGGATTTGAGGAGTTAAGCAGAGATTGGAGGGCAAGGACTGGATAATTCTGAGGAAAGAGCAAAGGCAACCTCTCCCCTCATTCTCATCTCTTCGTCTTGATTTTTTTCCCCAAACAACTCTTACTTGCCAAGGTCTCCATCCAGTGTACAATTAGGAACTTATAGCACCCGAAGCACCTCACAGGCATCAAATGCCACACTACAGGAACACACGTTGCTCTGAACATGGGGTTTACACAAGTGCCCAAGCAGTCGGACGACTGATGCCCCAGCCCTTCTCAGACCTTCCCTCCCTGATCACATCTAGCGCTGTGCACTCCAGGCATCACACACAGATTTGCTGGTAAACCTCATCACGTCTCCGCTTTTCCTGGGCTTTATTGTTGTTGTGTATGGTAGGTTTCCTTTTGTTTTTAAGAAACTATTTTACACGTAAGTATAAAACTAAATATACATCAATTTAACCTTAGAATTTCAGTCATTGGTTGGGAAGGAAAGGGAAGACTGCCTATAGGATGCTCCTTGGAAGATCCCAAAGTCACCGGAGGTCAATCCCCCTCACCGCAGCAGGATGGACCTTCCCAGTCTGGCTGGATGAGATTCTTTCCTACACAGAAATAAGGCAAAGTGACTTCCTATCCTCCCTGACTACTTTCATAGCTCATATACACACTATTCAAAGGACTTCTCATAAATATGTTTTCAGCACATTCTGTCTCGTTTTGTCCTCATCAGGATTCAGAAATAGCAGACTACCATTGCTTATTTAATAGTCCTCCTGAGAATTAATGATGACGTTTTCTAGAAAATGTTTTCTAGTAAAGCAGAAGGCCGTGTCCCCAAGAAGCCAAGATTTGGTCCTGTCAGGTCAAATCAACCACACAGGAAAAGTCCTGGGTGTGTTGTTGCTTATTTAAGATCTGTTGTCTGGTATCTTTCTAGGAAACACAAAACAAGCACCTTTAAGAAAAGTGCAGTCTCCGGGCTCAATTATAGAAACATTAGTTAATGGCCAAGAAGCTGAAAGGTCGAAGTGCAAACTCCATTAATAGATTGTTAAGAGATAGAGAAAGCTCCCCAAACCAAGCATGGGCTTGTGAAAAATGGATGATGAAAATGATCACTGGAGATTTATCAGTGAGCTGTGAGAGGCCAAAGCCAGACTGTCCCCAAGAGCATTCTGAGGACATCTATTAAAACTAGATATAAACTAGGTCAGCCATCCTTGGATTCAGAGAAATGGGGACCCCTGTATCTTTTTTTTTGAAAGCACCACAGTCCAACCAACAGCAGAGGAGAACCAGAAGAAAGAAGCAATGACAATTCTTCGAACAAAACTTTTCTTTAATCCATTTTACAGAGGACTCTTCTGTAAGAAGTAAAGTTCATTTCCCACCGTAGAGGTCCATGTACACCCTGCCCAGTCTTTGGCCTCCCTCTCTGCCCTCATGGTATCTGTACAGCAGCTAAGAAATACCAGAGATAGCGGAGGAGCATTGGCCTAATGAGTAAAGGGGGGTTTTGACAATCCAAATCTACTGAGGGGTCCACAACTTGAGGGTCTGACATATGGACGAGGAGAACTCACTACTGGCTAAAATGACTATTTTTCCTTTTCCCAGGAGTGGAAGGGTCACCCTTTGTTATTAGAGGCAGTGAGGGTTGGACCTCACTCACAGCCAGGGGTTGCCTCCTAGAGACTCCGAGGTCAGCCACGGAATAGGACCTCTTGGCAGCAAGTGATGGGGCTCTAACTTGAGCTTGGATCTTAGACTTGGCAGCTGTGTGTCTAGGTTGGCTAAGACTCACTGTCTCAGGAGATAGGGGCTGGGATGCTTGCCCGGTGCCCCGAACTCCATGGTGCAGAATGCTGGAGGCAGACAGAGGACTCTTGAAAGAACCCAGGGCAGTAGACATTGTTGAGATGCCAAGAGGAAGGCAAGGCTGGGGAGTTCCTCCTCTTCTTCCTCTTCTTCTTCACAGGACCCGTTCCCAGGCATTTCACTAATAGGAGAGGTTTCCAAGAACATTAAGACTTCTGTTTCCCAATCTAGGGGAAGTACGACTAGGACCCTGGTGAGGAGAAGTTGATTGTTTATACTGAAGTTTCTGTGACTTTGGACTCCATGTAAAGAGATCAAGTTATTTTGACTTAGGCTACTCTCTCCTCTACCATCTTTTGGCAGGTCATCTGCATTCAACCTTTTTGTGCTCATTTTCTCGCTGATCCCTAGTTGAAGACCATGGTTATCTGTGCTCCCTGTGACTTCACTGGTCCCAGACTCTGTACAAAGTGACTCCATGGGTGGCACACCATAAGTTGGGGTTGCCTCCACACCCACTTTTCCTTTCAGTTCCAGTAGTCGCTTCTCTACCGGCTGCAAGGAAGGAAAATGGATAATTACTGATTGTTACAGGTTGTGAGAACATGTGGTGGAGCGGGTGGTGGAGACCATGGTATTGGGGCAGGATTCATAGAAGTCAGTCACATGAGTGTGGTTCAATAACCAGTGCTTCACCTCTACCTCTCCATCCTCTTGTGTGGTTTTCACAACAACGATTCCTTACCGCTCCTCCTCTCGGCCACGCCATTGTCTCCTACCTCCTCATTCTGCAGCTGCCCCCACACCTGGAGCTGTCCTTCTCCAGAAGCCGTGCCAGCCAATGCACTGTTGCATTAGATGAAATCCTGTGGGTTTCATGTTATGATTCTCCCTTCCTCCTCTGGTTTACCTGGGTGAGAGTGAGTCTTTCCTCTTCCTCCAGCTCCTGCGTTAAGGCCATGGGATCTACCTGTGATTCTGGTGATAGTACCATTTCCAGGAATTGAGGGTGAATAACTGCTTCCACCTGATAAGGGAAGGAGAAGGCATGTGAACATCCTCGACAAGGAGTAACCAGTGGATCTAGAAGACAATCAATAATCCATCTCTCATATATGCATCCAGTGTTGTATTAAAATATCTACACCCCAGCCTACACGTAGGCAGACACATACACACATACAAGCAAGAAAAGGACACACAGATTGATCAGGGGATAAGTAAAGGAGCTTAATTACAATGTCTGGGGCCAAACTCCAGATGTTTGGTTGCTGGAATGCCAAACGTACAGAACCCACAGACACCAAACCTCCAGTTCCAGCCCACCTTGGTAATAAATGCTTCATGTGAACACAGCTTGTCAGTGTAGCTCACGAGTCCCGGGTCTGGGTATATCCCATTCTCTTCCTGCTCTTGCTGGTTTTCTTTTTCTTCATATTTCCCATCTGGCTCCACAGTGGCTGAATGGGCAGGTCCAAGCAGACATTTCATGATTTCAACATACTCCTTTACGGCTTTAGGAGGGATCTCATTGGGTCACTTGGGCTCCTAAGGATGCTGGGGTCTGTGTTGATGCTGGTTGGGGGGCTGTGCCTTGGGACCTCCCTTCTTTGGAATGAACACTATAAGAGGGGTTGGAAAGAAGGAGGTGAATTTGGCAGCAATTTCCAGCACTTTCCACCTGTTATGGATTGAATTGTGTCCCCACAAAATGTGTGTCAACTTATCTAGGCCATGATTCTCACTACTGTGTGGTTGTCCACCATTTTGTGATCTGATGTGATTATCCTATGTGTTGTAAATCCTAACTTCTATGATGTTAACAAGGCAGGATTAGAGGCAGTTGTGTTAATGAGGAAGGACTCAATCTAGCAGATTAGATTGTGTCTTATGTCACTCTTTTGAGATATAAAAGAGAGAAGCCGGCAGAGGGGAGAGGAACTTCATGCTACCAAGAAAGAAGGGCCCAGAGTGGAGCCTGTCCTTTGGACTCGAGGTCCCAGTGCTGAGAAGCTCCTAGAACAGGGGAAGATTGATGACAAGGACCTTCCCTCATAACTAACAGAGAGAAAAAGTCTTCCCTGAGAGCTGGTACCCTGAGTTCGGACTTCTAGACTCCTAGACTGTAAGAGATTAAATTTCTGTTTGTTAAAGTCATCCACTTGTGGTATTTCTGTTATACCAACACTAGACAACTAAGTCACCACCCAACCACATGTTGTAAGGGCAGAATTTTGGAGACACTGAAATGGTTCCTACGGGGGTGTCACACCTGAAGCCACAAGAACTCTGAGAGGAGAAGAGATAAGAGGAAGCAGATCAAGAGTGTCATACTGCAAGGAAACTTGGAACTATTGCTTTTTAAAGAAGTCCTCTCATGGAGACACACGTTTTAGGCTGATTAGATATTGGATCCCACCTTTGATAATCCTTGTGAGACAATAGTTATAAAAGTTGACTCTCTCACTACTAGTGTGTAATGAAGAGTATCTGGGACCCCAGGCTTCTGGCAGTCTCTGCTGACAGAAATAGCCATTGCCCCCTCTTGAAAGGAAAGTACCACATGTGAAGACAATGCCTTCTCCAAACAAGGCCAGTCTCTACACACCTCCTTTGACCCCTCGCACTTAGCTCCTGTTGAACTTGGTTATCCATACCTGGGTGCTGGCCAACCACAGTGGAAGAAGGCCCCTAAGGATCAAGATTCCGTGGAGCTGGAAGAGGCAGGCACACAGACGCAGTCCTCTGTTGCAACTTCTGAATCTGTAACTCCTCCTCTGCCTCATACTCCATGAACCTGACAGGAGTGAGAGAGGCACAGGCTGTGCTGAGAAGAAGGCAAGGCGCACCAGGAGCCCCAGCACCATGCAGAGGCTGATGTGGGGCAGCAGAGAAAGATGTGCCTTTAATGACCTGTCAAGGTGATGATTAAGTCCATTTCGCAGGAGGGAGTTGCTCTTTGTGGCACAGACAAGGTTTGAAGGCCCCTTACATTTTCACCACATCATCCATTCACCTGCAGCACAACTCATCATAACTTATGAAGGTTGTGAAGGAAATGAGTCATAGCGCTCACTTCCTTTCCAAACCCTTAGCACCTGATGGCACACCACAACACTGACACTGGCTTGTTGATTTCAATCAGACTTACATGACACACAGTAGGATGCCACTCCTGGACACCCTACACCACGCCTCCCCTGCTCTTGCCTAAAACACACAGTAGAGCTGACAGCCTGAACCTGGGATGGGATGAAGTTGATTGCAGATAATACCAGGGACTAGTTCCTAGAGCCCTGGTCCTAGTCTCAGGCTTCAAGCCTGTCACGTATAAACCAGGGAGACAAGTGGTCCAAGAGCTATTGGGGAGAAGGTGGAATCTAAGTTTCAGACTCCAATGATGATTTTTTTTAAATCCAAGGGAGGAAAGGCAATGAAGGTAAGAGACACGTCCACAGGGTGACTTGAGATGCTGCCTTCCCCAAACAAAACTGTCGAGCCTGGGCCATTCTTGGATGGTTGTACAGCACTTTTGTGCCAGTTGTCATGAGGAGGGGTGGCCCCATATTCCCTGTGAGCTATACAGACACTGAGAAAGCCAAGAACCAGGCTGGTACAGCATATCCCCTTGCTTCAGAGTGTCCACAGCTTGGAATTTGTCTCCAGTGGTAGCCACAGTGTTTATCCCCATTCCATCCTATCACTCTCAATATCAAGGCATCCACAATCGCAAAATGTGGAAGCGGTGAATTTCTTGAAAAATGTAGAACAGAAAACTCCAAGCAGTGAATGTGGTGGTGGAAATTGTTTGAGGGTAGAGAGGGATCATCAGGGAACCAGGAGCCATGTCCAAGTGCACACCTCCTCCTCACAACATTCCCTCAGATTTGTACCAACACAGCCAGGCAGCAGTCACTCTCAACCCACCCTCTTCATTCACACTTCATCACTCAGTTCCAGCAGGGCCAGGATGCCACGAACTCACTTTCTTGCCATTTTGAAGAAGATCATCCAGTCAAAGTTGCTTTTGCGCTGCCATTCCCGCACAGACTGCCACATTCCCTCCTCCAGGGTCATGGTGGGCTTCAGTTGGGCCAGGGATTGCAGGACTGGGCTAAAACTCCATGCATGTCAGTAACTTTCTACACGTACATAGTCCATCCCCATCTTGATCCCACCCTGCCCATTTTCACATCTATCTTCCTATTTGTCCTCAAATCCCCTGTCAAGTGTTTTAGACTTCAAGTACTTTTGCCTCCAGGATACCACTTGCAGAGCATAAGAACTGCACTAAGATGCGTCCTAGGAGGGATAGCCTAAAGAAAAGGATGTGCTTTGAGTCCTCAGTAGGATTGTGGACAGAATGACCTACCAGAGCACCTTAAAATGCAAACTGTAAGGTCAAGTCTAAGGGTCCCATGAATGAACATTTTCAACAGCTCCCAGATGACTCCAGATTGGAGATTCTGCACTTTGATGAACACAGCCCTAGAGTCTCAGAGTGTGAAGAGCAAGAGTTCTGCCCTGAGGCAAAGGTGAGGGCAACCCATCGTAATTGAGAAAGACCTGTGCTACCTGGAGTTTCCAAAATCATGCTGCCCAATTGCATTTGAGACTGTGATCAAACAGGGAACAAAGCTGTTTTAGAATACAGGGACTCCCTAAGACTGCTTGAAAGTTGGATTTGGTGGACTGCCAGGGGAGTAGGGGAGGGGAGGAAGATTCCTTCTGTCTTTCAGCTAACTGAGAGCAACATGTTTGTGGAAAAACATCCTGTGGAATGTGATAAGAGTTCAATATTGACTAACCCATAATACCTGTGGGGAAGAGCAGGGTTGAGAGAGATATAGGGTCTGCTATGAAAAGACAAAGCTTCCCACATGATTAATCACCCTGCCTTCAATTCACAGAAGCCCATGACCTTGGACTTTATGGCCAATTTCCACTCACACACAATGTAGCTAGGACATTTTTGCTTTTGTGGGTAATTTTCTTGGACTATATTGCCTTTTCTTCATGAAAATGACAATAATAGACAACATTTAATGAGGCACAGCATGTGTCAGGCACTCTCTGAGCACTTCATATATTAGCTTATGTCATCTTCTTAGCTATCCTCTGAATTAATTGTCATTGTTTCCTTATTGGATGAGATACTCGAGGGTGAAGATGTACAATGCCCTGCTCAGGATTACAAATATAGGGAGGGCGGAGCCCAAGCCCTTCACCACTATGCATACTCTATCGCCTCACTGTTCTAACTGGAATTCTCCAGAGGAATGAGGGTGGGTGTATTCTTAAAATGGTTGTCCTAGGCCTTGTCCATTTCCCCCCTCCTCTGGATTTGATATGGCCCTGAGCAATATATACTCAACTCCTATGTTGGAAAGTAAAGACCAATGGAGGAACGTGGTGTTTGTAGTCTGACACCACAATTCACATCATGGCTCCACCCTTTACCACAATAATTATTAGGGTAATGATTGCAATATAAAGATTGTCTTTACGTACAAGGTGGTCAGCATCAATTGAGATAAGGCACCTGAAAGTGTTGTACACAGGGAAGTGTGGTTAATATTTTTGGGAATGTATCTTATCATAACACATCCCATCGCTCTCATGACCTTCTTTCAAGTATTCCTAAAGAGGGTAACCTCCATTGTGTCTCCCCAAGATCTCTTTATTTGAAAGCTGCAGGATAATCTCAGGTGTCCCCACTGACTAGGACACTTACATGAGAAAGCAGGAAAGAGCTTCTGTATCAGGACTTTGGGGATGGTGCCTCCGGGCCAGGAACTTGAAGTGTTGCCAATGTCAGTAGTTTGAGGAGTCATCCAGGAAGGCCTGGATTGTGTGCTGGCCAGACTTTCCTCCCCAGAAGAAGCATGTTGTCCTGACCAAGCCTTCATCTGGGGGAAAATTGAGGCTAGCTTGGCAGCTGGTGGTGGACCTTGAAGAGAAAGAGCTGGGGACCAACCTCCCCTATAAGGCTGAGTACCCACAACAGAAATGGCAGAGCTCATTTGCTCCACAGCAGAGGCTTCCCCAAATGGTGGTGGAACGTACTCAATTGCCTCACCAGGAGTACCCCGGGCACTTCAATTGAGTGGGGTCTGCGCATGACAAAGGTCTGAGTTCCAGGGAACTCTGCTGATCTCCCTTCTGTCCTGACTTGGACAATGACTTTGCCAGGCCCAGGCCCACTGAGGCCAGAGTCCCCAACACCTGGCACCAGCAGTGTCCTGGGGAAAGCAGAGAGCCCTAGAGGGATACCAGGAGGGCATGATGAAGTCATGAGGTGCAGCGGGTGCTGCTCCTAAGGTGTTCGGTGTGGGGGTCAAGAAGTGGGTGGGGGAAAGGGCAGTGCAGTGAAAGGAGACATGGAGGCACCAGGATTCATGGTTATATACGGTCCAAGCATGAGAGTTGCTGTTGAGACAAAGGAAAAGTGTGAATGGAGGAGGAGGAAAGGCAACCAGGTGTTAGGTCATCCAAAATCCCTGCATGGTCACTGGGAATCAGTGCAAAGAACCTTAACTGATGAGGAGCAGTATGGAACGGGGAACTGGTGAAGATTGCAAAATTCCCTGGAGTGAATTAGGTGTTCCTTCCTCCAGTTGAGAAGTTTCCCTACTAGAGAACTTGTGAGCAGTTCAACTGGACTTCCAGGCCTCTGTCTACCAAGAAGTAAGAGGCCCAAGCTGTCAGTGACTCCCAGAGCCTGTCTCAGGAATCCATGGCAGACACCTTGCCACCCTCATAAACTGTTTCCAACACACAGAACAGGGTTGACATCCACTCTGTCTGAAATGCCCCCAGCAAGCTCACTAGCATGGAAGGGACCTTCTGAAGTGGAAGACACCCTCAGGACTTTCTTGAAGGAGTGAGTCTTCATAAGAGTGGTTTTCCCATCTCCTCCTGAGCCTTTCTTTTCTTGATGCACGTTATAAAACCCTGTTCCTTCTTTCCCCAACCTCCTGTCTCACTTTCCCAATCTGCCTCTTCAACCTCCCCAGGTAGTATGTCCTGGGTGGTGTCAAGGGTTCACTCCTTATACCTGCTCAGAGAGCTTGTCCCCAGGGGAAATGTCAAATTTAAATTTCCAAGGGCTGAAGAGGTGGCAAGGATCTAATAACACACCCCCTGCCCACCAGGCTTACCTCCTTCTGAAGCCATCTCCACAGGCTTGGGCACTGACCACAGCTATCTGGCAGCCTTCAACAGGTGAAATCGTCATGTCCTGGACTCAGAGAGTGTGATCTGGCTCCAACAGATCCTCATGGATCCACGAAAAGGAGGGGAAAGTTTGAATCTAAACAGAAGTAGAAGGTAGGACTCAAGACATTCTACAGTGCGGGAGGGGTGGAGGGCAGGTTGGGACGAGGAGACATTCCATGAAAGAGATCTGACAGGTAGGCAAAAGCTACATGTTTCCTTCAAATTATATTTGACAGCACAAATTGTGGAACCTCTTAGGGTGATTTGTGGGTTCCGTCTCAGATTCACAGAGCAAAGGCACTACTCTAGACTTCAATTCTTAACAACATACTTAGTTTGTGCCCCTAAACCCACCCTACTCACCAACTCTAGGTGGTAGGTTCTAGAATTAGTACAAGGGCACCAGCACTTCATGAACAAAATTCAGGACCCTTTTTCTAATAAAGGCTGGGGTACATATAGAGTCAAGGAAACTGAGTATTTGAAATTAGGATTGTCTCAGAAGTTCCATTGTGTTTGGTGTGTGTATGCATACAGTGTGTGTATGCATCCTTGTTTAGGAAGCAGTCCTTGTGTCCCGAAACTCCTGTTCATTACTGAAAGCTCTGGGGGCTGCAGCAGGGCCAGCTTTACTCATGATCCTCTTTTCTGTAAAGACCCACTGCATCAAAGAAAGGCCAGCAGCCTCTAATTCCATGAGCAGATGTAGCTTCCTGTTGCTTCTCAGATTATTCTGTTGTACATTCATATTTAAGTTTTTATTTCTGACAATGACTGTGATTCAGTAATTAAACAAGCATACTTCTGCATGGTTCAAAAGTCAAACAGTTCCACATAGATCCTACAGTGACAATTCCTCCGCCCGCACCTTTGTCTTGGCAACCAAGTACTCCACCTGAGTGGAAGCAGATGATGTTTTCTGTTTCTTTTTCCTCTCTCCAAAAATATGGTATGTGACTGAGGGTAACTAACACAAGCTATACTCATTTATCAAAAATGCTTTCAGTTTCCATTTTTTCCATTATACAATTAGGGTGTGTTCCGATATAAACTTTTTTGCATTAAATTTAATGCAGCCTTTTTTGTCTATGCTTTTTTTTTTCCTATTGGGATCAATGATCCTATTTGTATTACTACCAGTAGTATAGATTCTACAATGAGAACTCTAACATTCTCTTAAGCTTCAAAGTCACCCCAAGTATAGGCTTGTCAGGTTTAGCAAATAAAATACAGGACTCCAAGGAATCCCCGTGTAATATTGGGGACATACTTACAATAACACTGCACCACCAGTGCTCCACCATAATATTAGTCCTTCTTTATCAGAAATTTGAACTTAACAAATGGCAAATCTACCAGAGGTTAAAAAAAACAACTTTAAGCTGTTATAACTTACTCAGCCTCATAAGAACAGAACTGAATTTGCAGTCAGAAGGCCAGAGCTGGAATCTTGGTTCCAGAAACATAAAACACAGCACCCCAACCAAACCAGCATACCAAGTTCACAAAATCATTGCGGGTCATTTTGATTATCTGGATATTGAATGGTCATCAAACATTCTCGAGCACCTAGGCTTAGTGGGCATGGGACCAGATGTAAGGACAAGGAAGGAAGAAAATCTTTTTCTCTGAAGCTAAATCGGCTTACCATGCTGTAGTTCTAGGCTCTTGAGGTGTTAGGTAGAGCCCCATGGCTTTGAAATGGTTGGGTATCTTGAGACCAAAACAGGATTCTACTTACCAAAGTCAAATCACACACACTTGCTCCCATCCAGCTGCTAGCTGGTCGGTCTCAGCTTGGGCATCACCTGTCTCCATCACACACCGTTGCTCTTTAGAATCAAGGCTCATCAAGGTATTGGCTCATATCCTTGTGGGAGTCATGGTAGTATGTTCATTAAATAAAGTGTCTTTGACTTTTTTTATAATGAGCATAATTTTCAGTCTATTAAAATCAAAATGAGTTGAAAGAGCGCTCATTTTGTTGTTGTTTCAAGAAGAGAGACTTGGTAGGAAAGATTGGTCCTGGGAGATGAAGGGTGCTGACCCCAGGTGGTTGCACTAAGAAAAAAAACGGTGAGACCAACTTGAATCCAGCTGTCACAGCTTCAGTCGTCTTCAGATGGGAGGGTGTAGAGGAAGGAGAGAGAGGCTAAGGAGGAGTGTTCCACACTGAGAGCCTTCACTCAGAAAATTTTCCTGCTGTCACTAAAATACTTTGTTGTCACTGAGGAAAGTATTTTGACTCAAGAGGGAAATGTAGAAAAATGCAGCAGCGGTCCTATTGTAGTGGAAACGCAGGGAATTGGAAGTCCAGAGGAGATGAGTTTCTTCTCCCCTCTTTGCTACAGTTCTGTGAGAAAGTCATTTCATAATGTGGTCCTCATGAATTCCCTCATGATTTCTGTGTTTTATCTGAACTATAAACCTGATAGGACCCTATGAATGTTTCTATCTACAGGATACACAGTGTTTGCCCAACCACTGTGAAAAAAATGCCTCCATGCAGCTTCTGCCTCTCTGGAACTTGCCCACACCTTAATTCTCTGCAACCAAGAAGTAACTTCTTGCGTGTGCCTATCTTTGTATTTTCTCTGGCAGCTACAATGTACAACTCTACTCATGTCTTAGCTTAGATAATGAAGTTAAAGAGATTCAAGAAAAATCACCCTAATATTTTTTAAAGCTACTCGTGATGATTGATAAAAGTAAAATTTGGCAACTGTTCTTAGGACTTGAGCTTCTATCATGGAGCAATCTTAAATGATTTTCAATCCAGTCCTTGCTGTTACAGCAATGGTGGGGCAAATCATTGCATCTAGGCACTGAAGAAAAGCAGGCTTGCTCCTTGATTCTTCTGCTTGTCAGTTAGTCCATCAGTTTTTCCCATAATGCACACTTATGGATGTAGGGCCATTGGATTTGACTGAGTGAGTTCAGGGCCAATGATTTAAACTTTGCATTGCAGAGAAACAATCGTGTCCAAATTCTGCAATTTCTTTTTCTACTTCATGAAAATCTTCGGCCCCGGAAGCATGTGTGATTAAGTTAGCGCATACGAAATTTACCAAGATTGGCCATGAATGGGCAAGGCCAAAGTCCTTTGAACCCGGCTCTCTGACCATCCCTGTGGAAAAGTCTAAGGCAGGCATTGACCGCTGTTAAAAATAATCTTTGTTCCTGGGTCACAGGGCGCAGAAGACAGATGATCTTCCACCCAATCTCAGAGCAATGGAGGAAATGACAAGATATGATGTCTGAATCTTATTCAGCTACCATGATTTCTCTCTCAGCCAGTACACTTGGAGGCTCCATGACTCTGTAGAATCATCCATGGGAGTCATCCCCTGGAGTGAGAAATAATACGAATCTTGAAATTTCCAGAAAAAGAGTATCTGATTTATTGAAATTTTTCAAAAAGAAAAAACCCGTAAGACCAATACACTGATACAATTCTGGTATGGATTTTTTAAGGGCTGACTGAAATTATGAATTGTATTACCAAAAAAAAAAAAAGGAATAATTTTGTTCCCACAGTACTTGCCATGTAGGCAGTAAGGAAGAGTGAGTGAGTGAGATGTATTCCTAATCACAACTCAGGAGAAAAAGTAAATTCAAGTACGTATACTGAGGACATTTCCTTAAGTGATCTCTCATCATGCATTCCTAGCAGATTTGCAGAGCCAGGGGACAGTGAGAGTCTGATATAGTGCATGTAAAAATACAAATACAGTGTAGTGGGAATGCAAAGGCAGGTGATGTGAAAATCAAGCATTTCTTATTGAAAGGCAGTCTGGGAGGTTTGAATGAACAGCAGGGCTGCCTGAGGCAAAACTGACCCTTGGTTGATGGATTTCTTGCTTTCTAAGAGCAGCACCGTCCTCTGCCTTGTCTAGTAGGAAAGCTGGGAGGTCAAATGAGGAATCAGGGGCTTTAAAAAGAGCAAGCTTGAGAGGGCTCACATTTCACTGGAGTTTATTTCTCATTTTGTTAACTGACTCTTCTTAAGTAGCAATCTTTGGGTTTGGGATTACGTGTGCATTTCTTACAAGGGAATGTATTGCTTAGGTCTTATATATTAGAAAGTATAACTAATCCTAGAGTTTTATTTGATTCCGTAATATTTTTTTATTTTCTTTTTATTGCGGTAAATATATATGTAAGAAAACACTTGTCATTTCAAAATTCTTTACATATAGAATTCAGTGATATTGTGTTCATTATGTTGTACAAGCACCTCCACTATCTGTTTCTAAGCATATTACTTCTTTTAAAATAATATTTTATTGTGCTTTAGGTTCCCATTCAAAAATTTCTACACAAATTCCTCGATGACATTGGTTACATTCTTCACAATGTGTGAACATTATCATTATTTCCGTTCTGGTTTTTCTGTTTCCAATAATCTAGTTTCCCTGACTCTTACATTCTCATCTTTATTTAAAGTAATTGTTGACCATGTGGTCTCATATAGGTGATTTTTTAAAGGAGCACAGTACTTATGGGAGATATTCATTATTTTGGGAGCCAATCTGTTATTTAGGTACAAGGTGACCTCAGGGGTTAGTTTCAGTTCAAGATTTGAAGAGTATCTCAGGGAAATGCCTTTGGGCAGTCCTCAAGTCTGAACCAGTCCAGTAAGCCTGTTTTTTTTTTCCTTCTGTTTTTCTTTTATGAATTTGAGATTCTATTCCACATTTTCCTCCCATCCTATCAGAACGCGTCTATTATAACCCTGATCACAAGGGATGGTTGTGGTAGCTGGGCACTATCTATTTCCTCTGGTCTCAGGACAGATGAGGCCGTGGTTTATGTAGACTATTTATCTTGTAGACAAGTTTCTTCTTTGAGTCTTTGGTTTCCTGCATCCTCTTTTGCTGCTGATGAGTAGAGACCCAGAGTTGTATCTTAGAAAGCCACTATGAAACTTTTAAAACTCCAGACACTACTCAGCAAACTAGGATGTAAAGTATAACTTTATGAACTCTATTATATCAATAGACTGAGATGTTCCATGGG